AACGATCTGTACCTGATGACCTGAGAGGTCTGACAGTGAGCAAGTCAGAGACGTACTGGGGGGGGCAAACCATAACTATTAAAATCATTTTAAAGGTAATTCTGCATTGTAGTGGGAGTCAGTGAAGTAATTTAAATACTGTGGTAATGTGGTTGAATTTCCACTTTTTACTGATGATTTAGGGAGTCTTGCAAATAGAGTGATGCAATAATCTAACCTGCTTGTTTCACGATCTGTTTGACGCTGATCACGTTTTGGAGAGAGGACCCAAATGCAGACGCTTGGAGACTAGACTAATTTTAAGTGAGCTGTTTACTAAGGCTCAATGAATTCATACAAAAACAGAAAACATGAGCAAAAGGAGACTGAGACTTTTGCTAACAGAAAACTAAACTGTAATATGAAACATGAGCAAAACACATGGTGGAAGAACTGACTTTCTGGCACAGGATAAGGGGAGATTGGGACAATACATACAGTGGCTTGCAAAAGTATTCAGCCCCCTTGAACTTTTCCACATTTTGTCACATTACTACGGAGCCCCGCAGGGGACATGGGAGAAAAAAAAATTAAGACAGACTTGCGAGATTTCGCAAAACTAACTCGGGATTTCGCAAAACTTTTGCGAGATCTCGCAAAACAAATTCGGGATCTTGCAAAAGTCTCCCAACAATGGCAGCAGCTACTTAGTTGTAATATTACTCTTTCTGGGTCACAAAATACACTTTTAAGATATTTTGAGGTGTGAATGTAGTTGTGTAAACGTCAGATATCTGCTCGGTTTACAAGACATCACATATTTGTAAAAGTGCTCCGACGTTTTCGGAGATGTATGAAACTCGCAAAACTTTTGCAAGTTTGTTTTGCAAGATCTCGCAAAAGTCTGTCTTAATTTTTTTTCTCCCATGTCCCCTGTGGGGCTCCGTACATTACAGCCACGAACATGAATTGATTTTAGTGGAATTCCACGTGAAAGACCAATACAAAGTGGTGCACAGGTGAGAAGTGGAACGAAAATCATACATGATTCCAAACATTTTTTACAAATAAATAACTGCAAAGTGGGGTGTGTGTAATTATTGAGCCCCCTTTGGTCTGAGTGCAGTCAGTTGCACATAGACGTTGCCTGATGGGTGCTAATGACTAAATAGAGTGCACCTGTGTTTAATCTAATGTCAGTACACATACAGCTGCTCTGTGATGGCCTCAGAGGTTGTCTAAGAGAATATTGGGAGCAACAACACCATGAAGTCCAAAGAACACACCAGACAGGTCAGGGATAAAGTTATTGAGAAATTTAAAGCAGGCTTAGGCTACAAAAATATTTCCCAAGCCTTGAACATCCCACGGAGCACTTTTCAAGTGATCAGTCAGAAATGGAAGGAGTATGGCACAAAACTGTAAACCTACCAAGACAAGGCCGTCCACCTAAACTCACAGGCCGAACAAGGAGAGCGCTGATCAGAAATGCAGCCAAGAGGCCCATGGTGACTCTGGACGAGCTGCAGAGATCTACAGCTCAGGTGGGGGAATCTGTCCATAGGACAACTATTAGTCGTGCACTGTGTGGCAAGTGGCAAGAAGAAAGACATTGTTAACAGAAAACCATAAGAAGTCCCGTTTGCAGTTTGCCACAAGCCATGTGGGGGACACAGCAAACATGTGGAAGAAGGTGCTCTGGTCAGAGGAGACCAAAATGGAACTTTTTGGCCAAAATGCAAAACGCTATGTGTGGTGGAAAACTAACACTGCACATCACTCTGAACACACCATCCCCACTGTCAAATATGGTGGTGGCAGCATCATGCTCTGGGGGTGCTTCTCTTCAGCAGGGACAGGGAAGCTGGTCAGAGTTGATGGGAAGATGGATGGAGCCAAATACAGGGCAATCCTGGAAGAAAACTTCTTGGAGTCTGCAAAAGACTTGAGACTGGGGCGGAGGTTCACCTTCCAGCAGGACAACGACCCTAAACATAAAGCCAGGGCAACAATGGAATGGTTTAAAACAAAACATATCTATGTGTTGGAATGGCCCAGTCAAAGTCCAGATCTAAATCCAATCGAGAATCTGTGGCAAGATTTGAAAACTGCTGTTCACAAACGCTGCAACCAGACAACTGACTACACACAGGGGATGCTGGGGAGGACACACAGACACAAAGGGGCAAGACCCAGATTAAGACAAGTGAAGTAGACACTGGTAATGGGGATAAACAGACATGGAGACACGACAGGCTGGGGAGAACACAGACCAGACAGGGACATGACTGAGCTGAAAGAGTGAGACAGACAGAGACAGACTGGACATAAAAAAGGGGAACAGACATAAAAGCAAGACTGACTCACAGAAGGTTAGACATGAAGGGAGGAAAAACTAAAGATAACTAAAAACTGGGGGCTCACCTAAACATCACCTAAACAGACATTCACCTTAAGGTAAATGAATCCAAGAATCAACAGAATTTTTCAAACACTATAAAGTCCAGAAATCTAGATGCACTGGGTCGACCCAGAACCGTGACAACTTAATAAATTAATTTTTCATTTGAGAATTTTCTGTTGGGGTCATTTTGACCCAGATAAAAAATAATTGAAATAAACACAACCAGCCAGACCAGAGATAAAAAACCTCACCTAGGAGGTGCCCAGGATAAATTCTGGTCCGTTGCCCAGACAATCTTAATTGGTTACTTTTGTGGAGGAGTAGCAGCTCTAGTCTGAGCTCCTCCCAAATGACTGAGCTTACCCTACCGTTCAGAGGAAGCTCATTTGGATCACTTTCCAGTTTCCAGATTTGCTTCAGAGCCCAGAGTGAGCCCTTTTCTGGCTTAGGACCATGGCTTCAGACTTGGAGGTGCTAATTACTCCAATTCACATGACATCTGGCTGCAAAATGCCCCAGGTGAATATAAGTACATTATCAGCAAAAAGCAGACAACATCCTGAGAGCACCAAACTTAACACCCTCCACACCTTCGTTGCTGCTAGAAATTCTGCCCATAGAGATTTTGAACAGAATTGATGACAAAGGGCAGCTGTGGTAGAGAGAAACACCAACCAAGACAGAGTCTAACTTATGCTTGGCAGTGCAAAATGAGATCTCTTATGATTGTACGGGGTCTGGAAACTGAAAACAACTAGTTAAACACACATTGCAGTCAGTTAATGCACACAGATTCTCGCATCGTTTAATCCTTTCTCATCCACATCAGCATATGGGAGACCAAACAGTTGCTAGGTTCTTGTATATCTGTTTCAGGAGCAAAGGTAACACCTTTTTGGAGTAGATTTTTCAGCTAAGCATTGGACAGTCATATGAGCAGGTGGAGCTTTTCTCACTCCCAGGAGGGTCATTGTTACTTGGATTAAGGCTTGCAATGTGTCTGTAATGGCTCTGATTTTTATGCCCTCTCAAGTAGATCAGACAATTCTGATAGCTTTCAGCTTGGGAAGTTGCCCACCCAGAGGATAAATGCACCGACAGCATCTGAGTTTGCTTAATTGGATGCTTTTGACAGGGGTCTCCTTGGGACTCCAAAGCATTTGTACTTTTGCAAAGCAGTAATTAAAACATAACTAGAAAACAGTGATGTGGCATCATTCAAAATGAATTGATTGACAAAACCATTAAAAAAGTTGAAATAATAAAAAAGACGTCTAAGAGATAATGCAAAACATATACCTCTGGGGTCTCCGTGGACCTCAGTCAGTAGGATGAGGGCTAAATGTCTTTGAATGTTTTGAATTCCTCCTTCCACTTTGATACTTTATTCTTCTGGAAGGCTTTAATATTCTTGACTGGTATTGCGACATTTCCTTAGGTGCAAGACATGATCTGAGACACATCAATGGTGTGTGATGTGTCAAACAGCAGATCAGGAAGCGTCTACAGATGGCTTCAATCACAGCATCTTGACAGCTTCACATCAGTTCAAAAGTGGGGATGTTACCACAGATCATAGCTAGCCCGCTGCGACAGGGGAAAACCAACTAAAATCCAGCGTGATCGGGTTAGTCTCAGGCCAACAGAGTAAGAACAAAGACAGATGGCAAAGGAGTGGCACCATATTTTATCCTATCTGCATTTTGCCAACAGCTGATTTGTTTTCACACCAACAGTATTCACAGTGTGCCACGTGCCCCGAGCATGCTTTTCTGCAAGCACACATGCAAACACACACACACACACACACACACATATATGCACAGATAACTCCTTTCACATAAGGACACTCAGTCAGAATCAATCAGTGAAACCTGACATTAGTCACAGCTCTGTTCTCGTCCTTTTTACTTTTGTGATTGAGGTGGCCGAGGACAGACGTGCCAGACGCCAAACCATCCCACTGCCACACTGAACGATGATGACAGATGAATACCTGCAAGTGACAATCAAAGTGCTCCCTCATCATCACAAATCCAATTTGGGCGATAGACCTTTGCACCCCTCCTCCCGCCAAACACGTACCCATCCCCTGCCGAGTTCACACAAGTTCCCCCCCAGCATTAAATTCAAGCTTCAAGCTGTCACATCGAGCCTGCAAACGTGATGCTAATGTGAGAGTGTGACTTGTAAGATTTGTTCAGTTGAGACTTGACGTCAGTCGCTGGCAGCCTGCCTCTGTGCTAATATTTGAGATGAGTCAATTAGCGGATATGACAGAGGAAAGGATTAGCAACAGGTGTTTCTGCTGATATGCAAAGGTAGTGTACATTCAAAAAGGAAGGAGGACACTGTGTTCTTGATTTTTCTCTAGCAGTAATCTCATTTCTCATTCTTTTTCTTCTCATCTTTTTCTTGTTTTTCTGACTCTCACTTTCCTCCTTCCATGCTCTCGCCTTTGTCATTTTCTATCCTTTCTTTTAATCTTTGCTTTACCTTCCTTTACTTTCATCCCTTAACCACCCTTTCCCTTTTTCTGTGTTATGACCTTTCCAACCTGCTTTTTTCTCTCATCTTCTGCCTGTCCTGCTGTTCTTCCCTTTCCTTTCCACCTCAGGGAGTGGTGGCTGCAGAGAAGACCAGAGGCGGTCAGCTCCTCGAGGAGCCAAAGATGTTGCCTTTCCGAGCGAACACCTTCAGCCTGCAGGTGTCCATCCAGGATGTTCCCCAGTTTCTATGGAGCATCAAACCCTTTACCACATGTCAGGTAACCACAGCAGGAAGTGACAAAACATGAACTGAAAATATATACTGTATGTAAGTGGTAATTTGCAAGTTTGTTCCCTCGAGCTAATTAGTGCGGTGTTTCTGCAAATTCTGCTCCTCCCAGGGTTGATTTATTAAGCAGCAGTCTGAGGAGTGTTTATACCTGTTTTTCCTGTTAATGAATTTTAGGGATTATCTAGTTGGCTTTAATTACTGTACTGTTGGATCTGGTAACCACGTTGTAAGATGCTTATTGAGGGAACTTTATTGTCGTTCACTTTTCATTAACATTAGTAACATTAGCACTTAACATTTAATTAAGATCAACAGTATATACGAGGTCCATATTATGGCCTCGTTTAAATTTTTTAAGCTGACGTTATGAAAAAGAATTTTTATGTAGATGACATTATGACATTTTGTGTGTGTAAATTTAAATCGCCTTTTGAGATTACTTAAATATTATCTGTGAATATTATTTCAATTTTGTTGTTTCTTTTTAAAAAATGTTTTAACACAAGCAGCATTTCTCACTACTTGACATTACTTCAGGCAGCGGCAAATAATTGTTACTTAGCTGTCAGAATTAGCTTTTCTTTTCTTTTTGTATAGAATATTTCTTTATACTTATTGGTTACCCACTTTTACTCACAAAGACAGTATCAGTTTGCACACTCCAGTTTTTGGTACCATCAGCTGCTTCACTGTTGGTGTCACAGCTTTGCTGTTTTAACTTGAAGGTAATTAGAAAAATAAAATGGTTATTTTCTACATTATAGAAAAAACAACTGAACAAAACAATAAAACAGATTTTTGAAACAAAAAATGGTCTGCTAGAATGAAAATAAAGAGGACCCTACATAGGTGTTAGGTGTAGTAGACAACAGTCAACGAGCTGACAAATCATCTATAATCGGCTCATGGCCATCCAGGATCAGACTGATATTTGGTCCAAATAAAAATTAAAACTAATAAAAATGAACATTTGTAAACACATTTTGATATGACTGTCATGTAAAAAATACATCTACATTTAAATATAAGGGAACAAAGAAATTCATATTGACTGTTACTTTCGCCACAAAATAGTTCAAATTAATCAAAATAAACTTTTTTATGCTTAAAAAAGGGAATCTTTCTTTTTTTGTTATAAACAAAATGACATTTAATACCTAAGCAGACAACTGACTCATTACTCCAGTAATATTTATACACAATAATACATTGCACAATTTTAGTGAAATAAGGTTTATTATTTTCTTGCCTCCCCATAAGCTGTCAAGGTTACATTTTTAAATGTTATTAAATGATTGTGATGTTCTGCTTTTTATTGGTTGCCATTTGGGTTTCAGTGTGAGCTCATTTATTTTAGAGAGATATTATTATAGGGGAAATAATTCTACTGTATAATCATTTTCATCTATTTCTCTGAGTATGGAATCCATTAGACATAATGGATTTGTATAATTTTCCTATTTTGTAAGTAAGAAACATCTGAATATAAAATGCTTTCATTTATAAATCATAGTGAACTGAAGACATCCTGCAGTCCTTTTGACATTTTGCCAGTCAGGTCCAAACAAGCTTTTCAGATTTTGGTTTATGTGAACAGCCTGTTAAGTTTTCTCTGTGTTCAGCCTGGCTTAGGCTGCAGCTCCGCTAATCTCTTTCTTGTCTAATCAGTTTAGGTGTTCTGATCTATAATACATACATCAGTCCTAGGTAAAGCATATTTTTACATCTTTGTGACCTTAGAGAGAAATTCAGACAATTAAAATTTTTTCAAGCGATGTCATGCTTTAAAACTAGCTGCACAACCTCTTTGTAGTTCCTGGATTTGACCTGCATGGCCAATGTGAAGTAAATGGTAAATGGACTGATTCTTTACTCAAAGCATTTTACACAACATGTCTCATTTCCCCATTCATACAAGCACGTTTCCCTACATCCAGGGATCGAACGACCAACCTTTCAATTAGTAGATGACCTGCTCTCTGCAGTCATTGTGTGAAATGTACATCACCATCAGCTGCTGAGCCCTGGTGGGGTCGGTGTCCTTAGTTCCATTGTTTTGGTGCAGATGCACTAAGCTGTCACTGCCTGAATAATAAGCTTGGTTGTTACTACTAAGAAGTGTTGCTAATGTGTGTTAAAGGCTTTCACCTAGTTGTAAAAGGATGTCGGTAAAATTCAGCTGAGGAGCCACAGCTGCCTTTTATTATGTCCCTGGACCCTTAAGGTCCACCCACAGTGCTGACAGTCCAAATGGAAGTGCCTGAAATCTGTATTCTTTTTGATGGCGAACAAAGGGAATAAAAAAGAAAAGTCCATGGGAAAAACAATCTTGATCTTGATAATGTCATATTAAAAGTAAGGTTCATGTTGTTATTTTTTAATTAGTCATTATTAGATTCATAAAGGAAGGTAAACCATGATATGCTCATGTATTAACAACAAAAATAATTAATGGGAGAATAGGGTCAGGACTGAAAACTTGGTATAAAAATCAGTGCCATATCAAACATGTGGGTCTATGTGTTGTGGGGAACCCTTGGAAAATGGGGAAGCTACTGACAGTACTGTGATATGGTTGCATTGACATGACAGCACAATTTTGATGGGCCCTCAGAGGGTTGGTGCAAACCCAAGGCCCTCTTTAAGCTATATATAATAAGACACTCACAGCAGAAAATTATTAATTTAGGCTCTATAACGTTCCAATTACGTTTGTTTTTGGTCTTTCTGCACCATTTTGTCTTTTAAACTGCTCTTTTAGTGTGACTTCTGCTGTAAAGTGGCTTACAGGCACCCACTCTCTCTCTTTCACACATGGACCATGAAGAAGGATGTGAGCAGTGATTAATAGCTCTGTGTTTGCTTTGCTTTCAGGGCCATTAAGAGCAAACTGTATTAGATCAGTGGCCTCTGTTTGTGTACCTGTTGTCCTCACTGTAACACCGCTGTGACTTAAAGATGTAAATACAGGGTGAAAGCGCTTCAAAGACACCTACCCTCTGCACCGCCTTATTTATGAAGGCCTCAGGACGGCAGGCAGCGCCAACCTGCTTCGCCCGAGCAGGTGCAGAATAATAGCAGAGCATCAAGCCATACATCAAGTCAGCTAAAGAGCATCCCAGCTTTTCTACGTCCATCACCCCCCCCATCCTGTTCGCCTATGCTTCCAGATTCCATTATCTTCTGTCGTGAGCCTCACTGGGCAGCCCAGATCAAAGCCACATGTGCTAAGTCTGCCACACAGACAGGTCACTTTGCAAGATGCAGATATGGCCGAGATGGAGTTGAACAGAGGTCAAGGACATTTCCTCAAAGATGTGCCTCCTCCACTGAAATTAATTATACATCAAAGGCAAACTTCTTCGTCTGCACCTAATTCATCCGTACAGTAGACTGCTTACAGCACAGCTGCTTCTGTTATCAGAGTAACTCTGCTGGGATTCAGGCTCTATTTGCAAATCTTATCATGACTACTTCTTTGTCTCTTTAACAGTTGTTATTTCCATGCATAAATACATCAAACCCTGGAATCACTGAAACTTCAAAGCCCACTCTTACCTTTTATCCTGCCTCATGTAAGTGGCTGTGTATGTGATGGTGTGGCCACGTGTAGAACAGTGCCCCAAATCATCTCATTTCGATGTGGCACTGAAAGTGTTTTACAGATCTCTCCGACCAGAGTCAAGGTTTGTGAGAGCAAATGAGAAGTGGAAGAATGCATTCCAATCGTGCATGCAAATCCCTAAAAACAGTTTAAAGAATGAAAAGATAAAGTACAACTTTTCAAGTTAGTAAGTAGTGGTTTAATTATAACCCAGGTTTTTGTAGCTGTCGTTCCAGCTTTCAGAGTCTATTCAGTTCTAGTATCTTGTTTTTTAAAGTGCAGTTCAGACTTTCATCTCCGTGACCTTTGACACAGACAATTCAGGAATTTCACAAATACTTCATCTGCATTTGATTCAACAGAAAAGAAAATTAAATTCAGTCAGTACTCAAATCAGTTTAGCACATATCAAGAAATCAGCAACAGTTAATTTTCACAGTTCAGTGTGTAATCACAACTTTGAGATACAATCTAGTTCCTCTGGAAAACACAAAAATAATGGTTTATTCCTATCACACAAAGTCTGAATCAACATGCTTAATTCTGGAGTGTCATACCAACCCTCTACATGGCTGTGAATCCTCTCTGTGCTCCTTGTCTTTCCCTGGAAGCTCCATATTCAACATCCTTCTTCTGTACATGTGCAAACTATCTCAACCTTGCCTCTCTAACTTTGCCTCTAAACCACGGAAAACAAAAATCTTAACGCCTTCAGCGCTTGGCTTTTTGCTTGTGTCACAGTCTCCAAACCCTGCATTATAGTAGCACTCACTACCACCTTATGACTCAATTAGAGTTCTGTGTTGAATCTTTGTCGACTCTTCAACATAGCCCACAAAAGTGACCAGCATCATTGCCAACAGTCACACTTGTGGGTGGTGCATTATGTGTTAATTACCATGTGGTAGTGTCCGGGTGCTTTATACACAGTGTCAGCCACGATAAAAACAAATAAAATGCTGGGACACTCTTTATTGTGATCTTCTTCTTGGGGAGTTTTTTGGATGCAAACACTCTCTTCGCTCTTCCACCTGCTCCCTACTTTCACTACAGATCACAATGTCATCTGCAAACATCATAGTTCAAAAAGACTCCTGCCTGACCTCATCAGCCTGTCCAACACCACTGAAAACAAGAAGGGGGTCAAGAACAGCCAATCCCTGATGTAATCCTATGTGTTGCTTATGCAAGTTGTGCAAAAATATAAATGCAAATACAAATGGCTGTAGAGCCCCCAGCCCAACCTCACTGGCCACATTATGCTTGACAGGAGGTGAATGACAAGCCAACACAACACCAAAGCAAACCACACATGAGCAGGCATGACAACACTTTTGGTGCATGGTAACCTGCTAAACAGTGAGCTCAGCAAGCAAAAGCTTTCAATTCGAGCTGTACTCTGCAGTGGTGGTGGAATCACCTTGTTTACTACAACATTCATTCATGTCGCCTGTTCATGCGTGTAGTTCAACAAATCTTTTTTTAAAATTAAAAAAAACAAAACAATCAGCTGCAGAGACAAAAGTTGAACACAAGTCATATCAGAGAATCAAATATAAAATTGATTATAATCCATTGTCCCCAAGAAGTGGCCTTTCTGTTGCTCGTACAAATCTCCTATTCATTCTCACCTTTACCAGCAAGTGGCGCTGTGGTTACTGTGATTTCCTGTTGCTGATACACGTAAAAGGTAAAATGGCAAAAATCTTTTATAACACGAAACACTCCAAAAGCACAAATCCCCGTCAAGGCCACTCACTCTCTGGGAAGTATTTACTTTTAAGGGAATAACATTGGTTTTTATGCACTTTAAGACATTTCTAGTGCAGTAAAAACAAGTGCAAAGGCTTTTCCTATATGTTCTCAGTACAAACAATGGCAGTAAGAAACAGATTTTTAAATAGCTCTATATAGCAGCATTATTACTTTGACCTTTGATTAATCCAGAGGTTCCCAAAGTGTGGGAACCTCTTCCCAAACCTGCTAACATTATGGACAGGTTTTTGATGGGGCGCCCACACAAACGCAAAGCAGGAGATGAAGCACCGCTAAATATGTTTCCAAACCAACTTCCTTCCAAGCCAAATACTAGAAAATATGGTGAAGCATATCTTCATCTGCACAAGTGCCAAGGTAGGTCTCCCCTGCAGGATTGGTTTTCCCTGCGTCGGGAGCACACGCTGGGCTCTCCAAATCACGGACAAACAATATCCCACATTCTAGATTTTTAGTTAACAAACACTTCTTGTAATGACTAACTACTCCTGACATTTTGGAGATGTTTGCTCTTTATACAGTAAAGTTACAGTGGGATACAAATAACATCAGGTTGATTCTGCCACGATTTGTTTCCCCTGTCCAAATCATGGACAAACAGTATCCCACAGTTGTTTATGTTTTTGAACCCATTTTGCACAGAGAGGCATTTTTTGAAAAATGTATTGACAGCAATGTTGAATATTATTACCCAGGAAAAAAACAACTACACGTAAAATAATCACACTGTGATGCCGCTGCCTTTCTAAATGGAGAAACAGTAACTGCGTTTGTATATGTAAGCCTGTAAAACCTGCAGATAGTCAGATTAACAGTATTTTGCCTCTGACATTCTGCAATTAATCTCATGTAAACAATAACGTGGCGCACAGCGTGATGTGAAAAAAGGCACATACCTTGACATTGTTTGATGAACTGTATTCCTCGTCCACACGTAAACACAAAAAAGGAGTTTTACAAAATCTCCATTTTCGTTGATTTGAAACGCTGTTTACGTGTGGACGAAAGGCCCAAACGCATTGAAACAGCTGCATTTTCAAAAATACCCGTGTAGGTTTGGACGTAGCTTAAAGAGTTAGTAGTTTATTTTATTACTACCTGATTTTATTGCAGTTTACTTGTATTTGCTTAATTGTTTACTAAATGTTTGAGGTGTGAAATGAACTGCATTGGAGTTTGAAAACAAAATATGGGTGTGTGTGGTGGGAGGATGTGTTTGCGTGGTGGGGGGGCGAGAACATTTTTCTTGTAAAACAAAGGGGGCCTAGGAAAAAAAAGTTTGGGAACCACTGGATTAATCTATTGACTTTGAAGGAGAGGTTAAATCTGACATGTTGTGTTACAATCTTATACAGTATGTTCTACGCGTTGACAATACACAGCACACTTAACATAAGAATCATAGTTTCTAAGTTACAAGGCTTCTTGTCAATTTTAGACCAATGAATCATTGAGTTGACCTTGATGACCTTGGTGGTTGTAAGCCATATTTTAATGATTGTTAACGTGCCTCCACTCTATACTCCTACAAAGTTTAATGAGAATTCATTCAAAACTTTTTGAGCTGTTGTGTTTATAGACTGAATGATAACACACACACATACAGGTACTCCTACAGTCCAAAGGTTAGGTTAACTGGTGATTTTAAATTACCCATAGGTGTGAATGGTTGTCTGTCTCTATGTGTTAGCCCTGCAATAGAGTAGCGAGGGTGTACCCTACCTCTCGCCCTGTGGTAGCTGGAATAGGCTCCAGCTCCTTTGTGACCCTGAATTGGATAAACAGAAGAGATAAATTAAAACTGTTTATATTTGTACACTTCATCAACAATACTATATCACTTGGTTTTATATTAACATAATGTATAATTTGGGTTAGGTCATATTGACCATTGAGTGTGATGTCGCTGATCTATTCTCTCTCTTTTCCCTCCTCAGGAATTCTCCTTCCCCCAAGTGTGGTGCAGCAACCAGCAGCCCCTGCACTGTGCCTTCTCTCTGGAGAGATACAGCCCTGTCACCGCCCAGCTCTCCTGCAAAATCAGCGTGCGCCAGGTCAAAGGCCATGAGCAGATTCTGCAGGTCTATACGGCTGTGGCCGAGGTGAGGCTCTGAAGCTGTGGGGAGGGTGTTTCACTTTTTTCACTCAACCTTTTTGTAACCTTCCTCGAGTGTGTACACCAGAGCAGGACCAGCTCTCCTGAGCTTGAGCTGTGTATTAATAGAGCGAGGAGAGCACTCTTCCTTCCCTTCTTTCCAAAAACAAGATCCAGCTGTTTGGTGCATTTGCTCTGTGTTTTTTAACCTCTGTTTGTCCAAGAGGACGCATGTTCCGGCAAATAGCCGCCTTCACGTTCACATACACCAACACCTGGGAGCTGCCTGCTGTAACAACAGCTTTCTATCAACTGCTGAACAGCTCCACCGGAGCAGCTAGGAGTCAGGAATACTCACTCAAGAGCACCTTGACAGTTGCTGTTAAGGCAGAAGAGAGTGCTGCTCATTGATTTCACCCAACTGCTTTTTCCACAACCAGTCACAAATGCGCTTGTCCTACCTCAAGGCCACCAGTACTAATAAAAGTCACAGTCAGACGTGAAATATTATTTACAATGACTTTTTATGGTTTGATTAAATTTTGCCTTGATGATTAGTGGAGTTTGTCAGACAGGAAGAATGAAAAAAAAGCTTTTATAGGTGTGATGTGTTGAATTCAAAACATCAGCGGTTTCAGTTTGGTAAATACAGCAAACAGGCGTTTCCAGAGGTCTGCAGCATGTTTTACAATGCGGGGCCACCATGTTGAACGGATATCATTGAAAACAGCTTTACCACTTCTTTGCACCAGAGCGAACCATACTCAATCCATCCAAATCTTGCTACATTATCTCAGGATTGCCTTAAGTCTGTAAAAAGACATAGATGTTATAATGTTACTCCAACTATATGCTGTTAGACCTAAATGGAAGGAGAGGACTCAATGATATTATATTAGTAACAGAGCTCAAACAGCACACTGCTTTCCTTTGAAATCACTTGCCTATATTAGGTTAATGAGTAAACTGGTTTTGTGAAAGATCCAGTTAAAAAGAATACCAACTGAACGTTGCTTATGAACTCTCTCTCATAGGGCAATCAATCCTGCTTTTCCCCCAAAGGTTTCATAACTGCTGCCACAAGTAATTTCATGGTTAAGGCTTGTCTACTGCACTTTTAACATATTAAAAAAAAATTCAGGACTTCCACATTAAATTTGACTTGATTTAAATTTGTTTTAATTACTTTAAACGCAGCAGTGACGCCTATCCTCAGATTCTTAGAAACTGACCAATAAAATAAAAATTACAGAATCCTCGTTTTTCTTCCTGTTGGCTTCCAAGTGTTTTAAAGCCATTTTACTATTCTCTAAGCTTTAGTATTGTGATAAAAAAAACAAAAAACATATTAACTGTCCATGATCATGATTAATCACATGCTGTTTTATGTTACGGTGCTCGTATCTTGACTCGACTTTGTGATAACTAACTTTGTGTGCTATGTTAGTGATGCATCCACATTTGAACCAGTGCAGGCAACTCTTCCACTGGGCATGTGCAGAAGACACACAAAGAAGAAAACAGCGCACAGCAAGATTTTAACATGTTTTATTTATAGATCACAATCCAGCAATATGTTTCAAGTTATGACCTCAGCACTCACTGAGCAGAAACCAGACTGTGAACTCAGTAAGGCATTCTTGTGTCAGTGTGCTGTCTTCTTCCTCTTCTTCTCCAAGTTTAGTTCACAAAGGCAGTCAAATGCAGCACTACTGCCCCCTGTGTTATGACAGCATTTTTTTTCACACCTCCATCCATTTTATTTGGATGGACACAACTTTTATTCTGTTTTGGTAAAAAAAAATTTTTAATTAAATCGGAAATCTTGGTATGGTCAAATGAAAATGAGAATGAGGCCACAGAAAACTGATACTCCTTAAACTGTCCACATGTAGGCTTAAAAGATGGTTTTCATGGTTTGAGCCACAGGCCACAGGAATCCACAGATTGAGAAGTACCCCCATACACCAATCACTTTTGTCTCATTGGCTTACAGTCTGTTTACTGATCTTTTAATGTGTAAAAATATTGTCCGAAGGGTCCTGACCCAGTAAACCTCAACTATTTGCAGAGTTGCAAATCCTCTCTGGCCCTGGTCTGATTAGTCTGCTTCTGTTCTGTTCCTCCAGACCGAAAAGGAGTCAGTTCCATTTTTTATGCAGACAGACTGCACCATCACGTCCCAGACGGGGCCCAAGGCCTTCAAAATCCCCCTGTCCATCCGCCAGAGGATCTGTGCCACCTTCGACACTGCCAACGCCAAGGGCAAGGACTGGCAACTCTTAGCCCAAAAGCTCCACTTAGATCGGTGAGTGTATGATGTGCATCCTCTTTGAGGCCGCATGATCTGTGTGTGTGTGTGTGTGTGTGTGTGTGTGTGTGTGTGTGTGTGTGTGTGTGTGTGTGTGTGTGTGTGCCCTCTGTAATGAACACAGGCTGATGACCAGAGATGGGTAATCCGATTAGTTTTCAAGTAAAGCGTGGAAGTACTGACCTTACTTTGAGTTTGATTCCGTAAAAAGTGACAAAAACATTAGCGTCCACTGTTCACTGCGTGGGAAGACAACTTCTTTTTACAGCGAAAAAAACCCTAAACTTCCGAGCAAGCACCGAGTACGCTGCCTTGGAATGGGCAATTCACAGAGAAACTTGCAGATTCTTCCACCCACCGATGCGGCACACCTGCACCAGGGCAAACATCCGCCCGCCCCCACTCCTGCTAAACAGGTGAAAATAGAGCAACAGGACTGCTGAGTCTTTGATTTCATTTATTTTCTGCTGTGTTTTACTTGCATCTATTTGAAAGAGTGAGTGTAAACACAAAAACCTATTTTATTTTATGTGCTGGAATGTGCAGAAAATAATTTAAATGTTAAACAAATTTCTTCCAGTCAGAGAATGTTGCATATAATTTAATGTTTGCTTGATGCATAAAGTTAAAAGATTAAAACTAATAATTAAAAAATTTTAAAAGAGAATTTTTCCATTTGATTACATTTTATATGATGGATCATGCAGAAAAAGTAGAATTGGGCTGAAAGATCTATTGCTTTATCACCTATTCAGGTTGTAAATCATGTTTTTAAAAAGTAACTAAGTAACTAATTACTTTTGAAAATAAGTAATCAGTAAAGTAATGGGATTACTTTGGGGTGGAAGTAATCAGTAATTAGTTACTGATTACTTTTTTCAAGTAACTTGACCAACACTGCTGATGACATTGATAAGACTCCAGTGGGTGTTGATAAGCTGCTGAATGTAGCTTCAGGTTGCTCATGCTCCCTGAGCATCAAGAGAGACGGCTGATTGTTTAACTGTATGGCACGTGGTGTAACTGACTGTGGGATGCTGTGGAACATCATACACACTCTGACACCTACATCCACTCTACTTTTGAAACATAAACAGTGCGAAATCCAGTGAGCCTCCAACATTTCTGTCACTCTGACCACTTACTTCTTAGCTGATTTTTTTCTTCTCCCAAACACAAATATGCATTTTTGATGAGACGCTGCACTCTTATTTCCCCGGCCCAGTTGTTGTCTTTGCTTGGCCTTAGCTGGTGTCAGCTATGATCTCCTGTTAAGTGCATGATTCATGAGATGCTGCTATCTAAGAGTCCTTTGGGATTTCTAAATTATCCAGATAAGCTTTCCTCTCCAAGTTGGGCAGCTTTGAACTGAGCCTGATGTGACCAATCGTTGCAGTTTTTTTGTGCTGCTTGCTGTTGTGTCTCTTGTGAAGAACCACACAGCGGCAGTGAAACACTGCCCCCAGCTGGACTCCCTGCTCAGTGAGACACAAAGGCATTGTACTGTATTGGCATGGCAACAAGCTTTAGTTTTCCTTTCCTTTGGCAGAAGCTGAGAATGAAATATAAAGCAAACTCTGTTCAGTGGTAATCACTTGCGGTGGTAATTTATTCTTAAAGGGTCGAACTTTTCATTCTAGGTACATGGAAAAGCAGATGGTTGTGTTTACTGCAGCGAGACACTCTTTAGTTCTATTAATTTACAGTTAGCACTCAGTATTCTGATTTTCTAAGAGTCAAATAAAGGTGATTCAATGACCCAAATGGGTTTAATATTAGGATTTTAAACGATCAATTTTGGGGCCATTATAGGTAACTATTGTTTTTTAGTGGATTCCATAACCAGGGTCCTAAAACAGTGGTTTCAGAACCACAAGATGAAACTAAGTTGAATTAACCTGATATACAGGGAAAATAAACAAAAAGAATTTACTGAGGTTATTGGCCAAGGTTTAACTGTTTTATTATATGCAATTGATTGGTTTGATTCTGCATGTGCCAGAAGTCCCTCCCTGCTGAAGTCCCTCCCTGCTGAGGCTCCTTTTTGGTAAATTATTAAATTAATAAATGATTAAACTGCCAATGTGTCTTGTGTCTTCGGACTTCAATCATCCAATCCAATAAACAGCACCGAACAAGAGCCAATAGCAGAATAAGCTGTTTAGCAGTGGCAGAGATAATGTTGCAAGTTTTTCATTGATGCAACCCACATACTCAGGTCTGCTGCTCAACCCACAAATACATCCTCCTTACAAGTCTGGCACTATTTGAGGGAAATAAGCTGGCTTTCCAACAGTATCAGATTTCTTGGCAAGAAGCATTGTTACAACAAAGAAATAATCAACCAAACACAAATGTTCTTATTTTTTTTGTCCCAAGTTTACTTGGCAGCTTCTGGTGGCTAGGGAAAATTCAGTGTTTTCCACTCAGGTGTGAGCAGTTGCTGGCAGTCACTGTGAAATTAATCACCTTAGCCCCAGTCATGCAGGCCTAAATTGGTGTTTTTGTATTAAAAACACAACTATAAAATGTAAGAGCAGTTGGAATGACCATGTAAAATTTTTGTCTTGGTCATTTTCATCAACATATTATGTGCACTGTATTTGCATTCAGATTTTGAAACATTTAAATAAAAGATGATGTCATCTGCAAAGGAAAACATCACTTAAATGTAAACCTGGGAGCCAAAAGGAGAACAAACAGGCAACCTGGGGGAGAGGGAGGGGGAATAATTGGGAACAGATGGAGCTAATTAACAGAGGTGAAAACAATCAAGGCGCGGTAGTCATTACTGCAGTGGAGGGAAAACAGACAAGGACAGGAAGTAAAAACAGCAAAAGGTCTACAGTTATCAAAATAAGAGAAGAAGTCACAACAAAGACAAATAAAAGTAGACACAGCCCGACAGGACAAAATGCAAAGAAACTAACAAAAGATGAAAAACATTGATGGTAAATCACAGGTTTGAACTCAGCATTTTATGACAGGCCATGATGGATTTCTCAGAGTACTCTGTAGAGTAGCACGGATACGGGTTCTTCTTGCCATTTCTTAAAAATTCACCTTAAATAATGTGTAAATGCACAGTCAGCTAACAATAAACAAATCAAAGATTTGCAGCAATGACCGTTATAAAATACCTTGTAATGGTCTGCGTCCCTTGAACAGGGGTGGGCAACATGAGAAACTGGGACGAATTAGCTGAACGCAGGTTTGTTCATTAGTACCTATATTTCTTTACAAACTACTAATAGAGTGGATGTTGGGAAACAGGGAAAGTATAAATCCTCCCTGTTCTGGCATTTGAAAAATTTAACCCACACTGTGCTACTTCCTGCCTTTTTCAATTACTGTATATAATGATATTAAGATTTATGCTTATGTTTCATACTTTTGTTCTTATCTCTTTTCAGTAGCTGTTTAGTGGTTGAGCTTTTTTTTATTTCCATTAAGTTTTTGCTCTCTGTAACTCTACACACAGTGTTTCTGTTTCTACTTCCATTTGTTTTTTGCACTTCTTACTGCACCGTGGAAAACGCACAAGAATTTCTGTCAAGATAAGAACTCTATTAATGCTATCTCTACCTAAAAATGTCAACATTTTACCAATATTTAATCAGCAGTGCCAGAAACAACTGTGCATGTTTTTGCCAAAGTTAAAGACTTCAAACTTTGTACAAAGCAAATAGACTGCTTCTAGTATACTGCTGCACTTTTCTACTCTACTTGAGCACTCAAAGCATTTTATACAACACGCCTCACACTCTTACTCTTACACACCCATTCATACAAGTACAAACAAGTGAGAACATTCACACTCTAATAAACACATCGGAGAGTGTGAAGGTTAGTATCTTAATACTTTGCTTAAGATCACAGCATCTTGCCCAAGGATACTTTGGCATGCAGACTGAAGAACAATGGAAGAAATCTATTTGGGTTGGAACACCGGGGCTCAAGTCAGATTTGATGCCTGAGGTGGAAATACATGTGGCCATCACTGAGACAGGCCCTTAATGTGGGTTTGTTAAACTTCATCACTGAGAATGCTTGTTCACATGTGAACGTAGATCCGAGAGAACCAACATCTTCTGGATCGTGTCTCCTTATGTGTGGATGTGAGTTCTCCTTTTTGAGAGAAGAATACAGGTCCAGCAGTTATACTGACTTAAACAACACCTCCTGGTGTTTAAAACAATGCAAAAGTACCAA